TGGGTTATGCGAAGAATGCTTTCCTCTGTACCATACGATGTAAAATCTATTTCATATAATAAAGTTTGCCAGAATAATGGGTGTGCTTCTTATGTATCCCACCATTAACTACGGCTGGGACATACGTGTGCCAGTCTTCGGCTCGAAATCCCTTTGTCAAAAAAATCTCAAATGTTAAATTTATCTTTTTTATGACATATTTTGTTCACTTGGATGGAAAACAGAGTAGTTTTCTTTTTAATTCGTAGTCAAAGAATTTAATCTATGTTCCAAGATTGAGGCTCCTAGTTCGTTGCGTAAAGGAATTTACTATATCCTCTCTTTGAGGTGATTTTGACTAGCTAGCCCCTTTCCTACCTAATGTGGAGGCTTTTCAGTTTGTACCCGTACGTGTAGTAGCTTTCATTAGCTGGAACACGTAACTAAATTTGTTTGATTATCACAGTATTAATAAATTTCAGTACTCTAATAGACTGCAGTTACGATCGTGTAACACATACAGAAAATTAAAATTCAATTATTTCTGACATATACAATTAAATAAACACGGATAATGTATGAACCGTTAGTGTCAAAGCTTACATAAAATTTTTTTAAAAAATTGTTCAAAGGTTGAATTGAGTAGTAAAAAAATAAAATTCCCAATTAAATTCTGGTGGTTTCCTTTTCATTTATCCCAAAATAGAAATGTAGAGTTCTTTATTAATCTCAAGATATAAAATACAAAGAATCTACGAGTACAAACTACTTTTTTAATATTGGCTTGAAGAAAATAGAATTTTTTTAAAAAAATCTCCTTCAAATTTAATCTTTGATTCCACACAAAAACCTTTCTAAAATTTTACGATCTTTTGCATTTCCAAGAAATTTACATTCAATTTGAAAAAGGATTTATATGCATCAAAGTACTTTTTGATATTTTGGAAAGGACGACAACTAATCTATGAAACATTTTATACTGTGCAATATGTTTACGTTGATATAAGATTGGCATTATACCTATAATATCACCTCTGGTAAATGCATTCTAGACTGTATATGGTAAACTTTATCAAAGATGTGCTAGGTACATATAACTCACAACTGTAGCCTGCGAACTTCAAAGACTTAAGCTTCGGAGTAATTAATATAAAAGGGATTTATTCGTTCCTGGATCACATTACAAGGTATTTGCTCAAGCCTTTCTGCATGCCTTCGTAATATAATGGTAGCATACTCGACGAGTATTAGAGAGGTCCAGGTCTCAGTCCCGGCGAAGGCACTGCACATTTTTTCACGTTTCTTGCTTCAAAAAAAAAAAAAAAAGTAATGATTCTACAGCGGCGCCAGAACTAAAAGGTGCTGAATGATGACTCTTCACCACCAGGATTTGGCAATTGAGTCCCTAATCCCCAGTCGCCCGTTTAAAGGGGTAATATATAAGGTATTTTCTCCTTCATTTCTGCATGCCTTCGTAGTGCAACGGTAGGACACTCGGCGCGTATTCGAAAAGTCCAGATTCGACTCCGGCGAGGGCATTGCACATGTTTCACATCTCCTGCCTCAAAATACCCTCATGCCTCTGCAACATACAACAGTAATTTGTGTAGAAGCACAACCTAAAATCGATGGAAATCGTCAAATGTTATAAAAGATAAATAAAATATCAGGCAGATAAACTAAATGAAAACTTAGTTTAATTTTGCTATACCTATACAAAGAAGAATGTAAAAGAAAACGGCATAAGTGGAAAATGATGAGAAAGATGTTGTTGTTTGGATGCTAAACTTCGTTCCATATAAACAACAGATAACATAACTAACTCATCTTCTCATATTTACTTGTCTATGAGCGCCACTCGACTTTCGTTGAGAGACAATGGGCCTGTTTTGCACTCAAAGTTTTTGCAATGTGATTTGTTGTCACGTACGTTTTAAAATGTTTCTAAAGTTAGACATGGCATTATCACTAAAAATGCTTATGTTATAGTTTGCTTTTGCTTTCGCATGGTGATGTCTTTGCACGAAAACTTTGCATCTCAACCTATTGCGCACAAATTTCATGGATCAAAGAACTAATAATTAGATAATTTTTCTTTCTTCCTCGCCTTCTGACGACATTTCTTCCATAGGTGCCTTTCGTTGCCGCTTTTAAATTTGCTGGAATTCTTTCCTTTGAGCTAATTGTTATGTTTCTCTAGTAATTTTTTAACGTCTTTACTTCTAATTTCTTTGCACTTGGTTTTGTCTAGAGACATAATATCCTACAACAAATCTGCTAAGGGTAATGTGCTCAAAGACTCTACCTGCAGCCCAGTCTGGCCATAAGTTCTTCCATGCCGAAGTAGTCCTGTGAATCACTTGCTGCCAAGTTTTGTTCATGAGAGTCAACACTGGAAAATATTAAAATGATTTTTTTAGAAAGCCTCGAGTGTTAATTATGGCGTTAATTGTGTTATTATAGGTTATATTAAAACATCTTTGAAAATGATATGTTGCCACCTTGATTGTTCGCAAGTCAAGATATCGTTCATCAACGAAGGTTTTTTTTTTTTTTTTTTTTTTTTTTTTATTGTAAAGAAAATTTGTTCGCGAATCAAATTGTTCTTGAAGTGAGGTGGTCGTGATTCAAGGTTCCACTGAATCTGGATACGGTAGGTATTTCAAGGTCATTTCACCCTCCCTCCATTTATGACCGTAACGCGTGTCATCACACCGTACTTATTCTCTCCACTTCATTTCAGAGTACAGTTCAAGTCAGCATTCATTAGTAAGCCTTTTGCAAATCGGAACACACTAGACGGAATTGAAGTAGGAGACAAAGGATTAGGGGCCTGGCCATCTGTTGCAGCTATCGTTGCCATGGTTACGAGTCAAACTGGGTGTGGGAAAACGACCCTAAAGTGGCTATTCTAAAGTAACAAAGTATAATCACAGGGCATTCGAATCCTCGGACCCTATGAACCTTGTGAAAGAACTAAGATTCGAAAAGTCGAATCTTTGTGAACTCTTATTTGAATCGTTAAAACCCTAGATTTAAAAAAAAAAAAAAAAATATTGTTTCAATGCTGAGGGTACAACAGGGTAAATCTGCTACGAAGATCTCTCCTCTAATTTTTTTATGTATTCGTAGATGTCATTGATGCAAATTTTATTTCATATAAAGTGCATTTCGTTTAAAATGTTTCACGAATTAACCAAAAATGCGAAATTTAACTTTAATTTAAAACCTAGAACCTAAAAATACAAAACGTTTTATGTATTTTAACACGAAGACGCGGAAAACCGTTGCAGAAATGGCGTACATTTAAAAAAAGGGGGGCTGCGATTGTTGCAATTAAAAGAATTATCAGTTTCATTTCATGATAGGTTTGAATGCCACTCTCTTAATTTTCAAGATTTAGGCAATTTGTAGGGTCATTAGGTTTTTTTTGGAGGGGACACGAAAGGGGACACGAAAAATAGTCAATGCTCTCGCCGCGACTCGAACCTGGACCTCTCGAATATGCGCCGAGTATGTTACCGTTACACCACGAAGGCATGCTGGAAGGAGGGAGAAAACACTTGATAAATTTAGCATTCTATATTTAGTGTTTATATATGTTAGCCGCTGAAATAATCTCCACCACCATAACTATGCTTGCTTTGGTTTTGAAAGGTCTTGAAAAAAAAATGTAGAAATTTTGAACTGTTATTCAAATAGTTTTTCTGGAAACTAACCCCAGTGCTCAAAAATGTTAATTACATACCTCTTTCATGATTTTTCATTTGTATATTAACATTTTTTTTAAAAACTAACTAAATTCTTATCTTTTTCCCTTAAGTAAGTCCCCTCTTATCCCCCCTTTAATTTGAATTTTTTTTTTCACTTTGATTAAAAAGTTAAAAGTTTTATACCTTCTTTCCTTTTTTTTTTTTTTTTACTCTTATACGAATAATTCGAAAAATCCGAGATTAAAAAAATTCGAGAACCTTTCAAGATTCGGATGTGAAAAAAACTTAGGTTTCAGTCTACCTCTAATTCCTAATTTACGATGAGATTCCATCGCCGCCCTGACTTTGGATTTTCGAAATTCACTCTCCAATGAAGATTTACCATCAGTCAGAAATCATAAAACTGCTTAAAGCAATTTAAATTTTAAATGTAGTTTAAAAGAAAATGAATTTCTGAGTATAAATTTATACGAGAAGTGCTAAAAAGAGTATCTAAATTCGATGCGCATTTAGTCTTTATATATTTAAATAAGCGTTAAAGTAAAGGTGTTCTTAACATTTTGGTTTCGTTAAGACATTTTCATTGCCAAGTATCCTTCAAAGTAATATCTAATCTCTTTAATTATTATTAGTCCGAAATTCGAGTCTTCTGCGTTTGCTAAATGCTGCAGTATCTTATTCTAGTTCACATAATGCAATTTTATCAATCTGATACGCATTTGTGAAGAAATCTGAGACACTGTCAACAAGAAGCGGTAAGATTTTAGCATCGTTATTTTAGCATTTTGCCCTTTCATTTACAGGACAAAGAACGGTATCAATTGCTATATCGATAGACCTATAAAATTCGAGTGATATTATTGAAGATCTTACCTTTTCCTTCACCTAAGATATGAAAATGCTTTAGTTGTTACTGAGATCGATTGAAACGATTTTGACACCATTACTGATGTTTTTTGTCTCTTTTCCTTTACCACACATGTAAAGAAGCTGCTATTCTTTGTGTATCAATATACTATAAAATTTTAACTTTTAAATCTTGAAGGTCTTCTGCTTTCAAAGAATATGTGAAGGAGCTATCAGTCGTTATAGAAAGAGACTGGCGAAACTTTAGAATTATCATTGGAGATCATTATATGTCTTTCTCTCTAACATGTGAAAAAACTGATAATTGAAATACGAAGATCAAAATAACAAATTATCAAAATTATTTCATCACTAGCCTTAGTTCTTAAACAAGACTACTGATGACATAATTCAGTCCGTTGTAAACTTGAATTAAAGTAAAGAAATTTATTTTCTTTTTACCTTGTATCTTGATGTCTCCTTCGCTTTTCTCGCCAGATAGCCAGACAAGATTTTCTTCTGGTCAGTCCCTGACCGCTGATGTCCGTGTCTCTGCTTCCGGGCGACATGTCCGATGATTTTTACCCTTTCTTCGCCATCGCAAATCATTTCGTGAATCCTTCCAACCATCCGTCATTTAGATGGGAGGGTCGCGGCGGAAGATCCGCCTTCCAAGAGGATCGATCCACGGCAGGACAAGATCCGCACATCCTTATTGGATCTTAAGAGCTCTGGAAGAAACTTAGAATCTTTTCCCATTGGATGCGATGTTAAGTGATGATCCTCAGATTTCTCTTTCTCGGCATTTCGGACACTTCTGCTAACGAGCAACGTTTTTCTCAAAGCGAATGCGTAGATTTCTTCCATCGGAATTCCAAATTCCATTTTTATTCTTTTCTTGCAATGGAATCTTATAAAGTTATCTGCCCTTAACTCGATTTGGTTAGGCCCTAAATCCCAAAAGAAAAATACGGACTTATTTCTTGAAACGTTTATTTAAATTTGAAATTTCTTATCGGTTCCAATTGGAAAATAAAGATAAAAAATACAACGGCTGAAACTTTTGGAGAGATTAATAGTGTTCTGAAACTTTTGGAGGGAATAATAGTCTTCAAAAGGACTTCATAATATTATAGTGTAACTTAGTTACTTAATAACTATATATCAAAACAATAACAACAAAGAAGAAGGCTTTATGTAGTTTTCTCGCAAAGGGAAAACGATGGCACACGTATTAAATATTCTTTATGGTAAGGATGAAAATAACTATTGTTACAGGATTAACTGATTTTCTAAGCATATTCCGAATACCGATAGGAGAATTATAAGTTTGTTGTTGTTGCAAGGGGTGAAACCCCCGGCCCCCCGGACCGAAACAAGTTCAGCCATCAGGCCATAACAGAGGCCAGCCCGTTAAAGAATTATAAGGTATTTTCTTCCTCCTTCCAGCATGCCTTCAGGGTGTAACGGTAGCACACTCGACGCGTGTTCGAGAGATTCAGGTTCGAATCCCGGCGAGGGCATTGCGCATTTTTCACATCTCATGCTTCAAAATAACCTAATAACTCTACAGTGGTTTCCGAACTAAAAAGTGGTGAGCTATAATTCATCACTACCAGGATTTGGCAAATGGGTCCCCTAATCCCCAGTCGCCCTTTAAAAGGGGGAGTATATAAGGTGTTTTCCTCTCCTTTCAGCATACTTTTGTGGTGTAACAGTAGCACACTCGGCGCGTATTCGAGAGGTCCAGGTTCCAGTCCCGGCAAGGACATTGCTCAGCTTTCTCGTCTCCTGCTTAAAATAATCCTAATGACATTGCCGAATAGTTTCCTTTTGTTCTTGGGTAATAAGAGTCAAAGTCCTCTTTTGGATATCCGTAATGCCGAATGTCGCATAATACGATATTTCATAAAAACTAATTGATGAATTAAGCATAATTACACATTACTGATATTAAGCAAAGTAGTAGTAAAGTATACCATACAGTACATTTTACATTTAAGTTTCACTTTCTCTGTGTCTCTATACATGAAATTAAAGATTCCTGAGAATTTAGCCTAAACCTCTAGAGATTATACCTTTACTAAGTGGTATCATGAAGAATTTCAAAAGATGATAAAACAGCAAAACTCCTGCTCTTCCCACACAACACTTACCACCAGCGACTAAATGGTAAATTCGCTGAACATTGGTAGTTCCGAACAGGATTCGATTCCAGGCACGTGCGTCTTTGTGGTTTTCCCCATGTGGAACTTGTATACAAGCCAGTTTCCCTTAAAAGTCTTCCACGAAGGCATCTCTTCCCTTAGGCAGATAGCTTTTGCATACTTTGCCGTAATTAAATACACTAGACCAAACCCACAGAACACTATATTAGCAATGAAACATTGGGCCAAACCAAAGAACGTGGCATACGTGTTTGTATTTGTGGTGTCGGGATTGCGAAGAGAAAGGCACGTTTGGATTGCTGTACTTCACCATGTTATGTCTCGTTTTGCGCTTAGACCGCCTTTTATTACTCATAAACTACTTCATTTTTTAATTTTCAAACTTTTTTGGACCTCAGTGAATGGTAGTAATTAGGACTGTTTCACTTGGAATTAATACGAAGAAGATTACAAATACAAATTAATATGTAGAAGACATTTTTTCCTACTAAAATTACAAATCTAATTAACGATTAGTCAATGAAAAAATTTTATACAAAACGTGTAAGGAGTAATATGTGCGTGTTGGCAGAGTGTAAATGGTTAGCATGTCTAGTGTTACAGTTTCGTGTTGCTGGCCACGAGAGAACGCAGCTTTTTTTAGTGCTGAGAGGCAGTATGCCCTGAAGGACTAATTTCGTTTTGGCATTTTGCATTGAAGACTATAAACGGCGAATTACTTTTCAAATTGTTGCCACCAAATATTATCGCCTTGTATTATATTTAAAGAAATTAAATAATGAAAAATGTCCATGAATCTATGTATGTTTCTCGCATTGTGATAAAACAACGGTACCTATAGAGCCATTAAAATTTGAATAACGTAATCTTCCGTAGACTATGGCCATGTGGAAACCCTAATTTGAATTTGTAATTTGCTTTATTATCGATTTCGTATGTTGTAACACTTCAACGAACTTTTGATTAACAAATTCAACGATTTCAAAGCGAGCAATGGCAACACTCTACAAAGGAATAACCAGCGCACGAGACTCTGTATCGGAAATTCTAAACATACGCTCATTTTAAAATTATTTTGCGATATTGCTGTTGAACTGAATTTTATGGTGTATGTGCGAAGAACATGATATTCAATAAATAAAGGTAACACATAGAATGTTAAAAAAACGCCTCTATGGACGTAATTTAAAATATGAATCCATTCAGGTTTTCTTTTCTCTCATTTTTATTTATTTATTTGTTTTTATTCGTCTTTTTTGACAGCCTTCTGTAGGGCTCCAGTACTTCTAATATTAGAATATTAAGCCCTTCGCGATGTATACATTATCGCTTGGTTATTTTTTTTTTTTTTTTTTTTTTTTTTTACTCCTAGCATTTGGAGAAGACTTTGATATTCTATATTGTTGTCATATTCAGCTGTGACACAATCAAAAATACTTTAATAATTCCATTTGTTATTGATTTTAAAAACTTTTTATTGTTTGCCAGAAAGAAGTCGGAGCTGCAATTCGATGTACTTATACAGGGTGGTCCAAAATTATTGAGCGCGTCTTTATTCCGAATACAAGAGCTTTTGCATTGTATTTTCTTATACAAAATACGTTTGTATAATACATGTTCCTAAAAAATGCCAACTTTTGCGAATTCGTGCTTAATGCGAAAAGAACTTAGGGTTGAATGTGTGGGGGGGGGAGAGAAAAGGGAAAAATACGATTCTGTACAGATGTACGTAATTTATGGAGGTAGGAATACTTTGCTTAAGTATATTAATGCAAATATGTTTATAAATATATTATTATTTTTTAATGTACGGTGTGATTATAAATCATCCATTCGGGTTTTAAAACACTGTATTTCAAAAAGTATTTACAGATGGACTAATAAATGATACACAGACATAAAGGCTGAATATTTACATCTAATTTGCAAAACTCCCATAACTAAAGGTCTGTTTACTCTGCCACTTTGGTTGAACGCAAAAATCGCATTACTCCAATGCACTTACGGCTATTAACAGCGCAAGTGTGGACCGAGCTCGAATATTGCATAGAAATGTTTAAAATACAGGGAAATGAGGGTAAGCTCCAACGAAATTTTGTGTCGATGTGAACAAAACCTTGAGTATTAAACGTACATTTTTATGTACATTCATTTTGCCACATGTAATGTTTTTTAAAATACAACATTTTAAAACCTGATCAATCATTGATAATCACCCTGGACTTTAAATTCATAAAGTACGTATATTATTATTATTATATCACTTAAAAAATTTTAAAAATAAATAAAAAAGATTTTTTAACTACGATACGTAATAATGTGAAGTTAGAAAAAACTTTTCCTTATTACAATAATTCATAAAATGTTATAACTATAAACTAAGTTAATTATAAGTTAAATGCTTTTATATTAGTATATCAGTCTAGTAAATTCCCCTCTATCCCTAAAAATAAGACGGTTCCGTATTGAAATGCGTAATAAATGGTGCGTTAGAAACAGTTCTGTTTAGTATAGTAGTGCTGCAACTATTTATATTTAGCAGTTGCATATATAATAAATTAACTGTATTTTAAATAATAGCAATTATTTCAAGGATGTTAAATCATTGGTTATAATTGATGAATACTTAATCAATTAGATCAATGGTTAAAAAATATAATAATAATTGTTAAGAAGTGTGTTTATTGCACAGTTCGTTAAACGCCTATGATTTGAGGCCCACCAGCGGCCGAGCGGTAAAGTCGCTGAACACTGGTAGTTCTGTCCGAGGTTCGAATCCAGCGAATGGTCTGACGCATGGGCGTTTTCGTGGTTTTCACCATGTGTAATGTGTAGACCAGTCAGTTTCCCTTAGAAAGTCCTCCACGAAGACATCTCTTCCCTTAGGCAGAGCCCTCGAGGTTTTGCCGTAGTCACGTGAAACAAACCAAACCAAACCTATAATTTGAAAGATTAATTAAAACGTTAAATAGCAGCGTGTCCCATCACAAATAAACAGCCTGAAAAACTAGTTGTTTGCCAAGACGCGCGTAGGATAAGTTCAAGATCTTATATCATGCAATGGCAATACTTGCCAGCTGTTCCGGACGAAAAATGTTATGGTTACGTAACGTAATGAAAAAAAGACAGCTAAAATTTAGAAAGGGGCTCGATGACGCTTTCAACGTCGATTTTTTTTTTTTTTATTTAACAAAATTACTGTATTTTCTTTTTATAACTCTTCATTAAATTTGCTAATAACTGATCAAAGGTAAAATGTATTGCAAATAACATGGCTAAGTGCTAGTAAGAGAGCTTTTGGCAAAATACCCTTATCTTCTGAATGCTTCGTTTTCCCGCTTAAATGCGTCCTCTCCTGTATTTTCGCTTGTTTACATTTTCTTGACAGCTCTACATAAATTTTGCTGTC